GATTGGTAAGAGAGGGGAGGAGGGGGAGAGAGTGATGAAAGGGGGTAAAAGAGGAGGAAGATCAGAAGGATTACAGGAAGAGAGAAAAGGGAATAAGACAGAGGAGAGGAGAGAGTAAGATAAGGAAGTGGTGAGAGGAGGGAAGAGATGATTCGAGGGAGAAGAAAAAAAAAGAGATGGAGGAGAAAATGAGGAGAGGAGAAGACGTAAATATGAATGGAGAGGAAGAGGAAAAAGACATGTGAGAAAGAGGAGAAGGAAGAGAAATTAAATTAAACAGACTTTGAGCAGAAATGAAGATAAGAAAGATGAGACCTATAAGAAATTTCAGGAAAAAAAATGAATAATAAAAAAAAATAAAACTGATGCTTACTAAAAAAAAAAAAAAAAAAAAAAAAAGGGCGAATCAAGAAAACAACAGAAACTACCAAACGACAAATCAGAAAATAAATTACAAAAAAAAACAAAAAAAAGAAAAAGAAAAAGCAAATCCCCCCCCCCCCCCCGCTCCACTCAAACAGTCAAACAAACAAACCATTGATAAACAGAAAAGTGAAATGCAAAGAGAAATGAAAAAATATTCCTTTCTCCGGTAACGAGCGAGAATCATATTATTTCAGGTCATGACCCCGACTGTCATGCGCGGGGCCTTTCTCGCTCGCTCGGAAACGGCGTGTCTGTTTGTCTGTCTGTCTGATATTAACTTTATCATTATCTTGACTATCATTATTATCATTATTATTATCATTATCATTACCATTATTAGCATTATCATTGTTATCATTATGATTTTAATTATTATCATTATCATTATTATTTTATTATATCCTATTATAATAATAATAATAATAATAATTATTATTATTATTATTTATTATTATTATTATGATTATTATTTTCATTGTTATTATTATTATTATATTTTATTATTATTATTATTCATTATTTATTATTTTATTATTATTATTATTATTTATTAATTTATTATTATCATTTTTTTATTATCATTATTATAATCATTATTATTATCATTATTAATATCATTGTCATTATTATTATTATTATCATTATTATTATTATCATTATTATTATTATACTATTATCATTATCATCGTTATAATTAATATTATCATTTTTATTACCATTGTCTTTGTTGTTGTTGTTGCTATTCTTATTGTAATTAATTATTACTATCATTATTACTATCAGCATTAGTATCCTTATTCTTGTTGTAATATTATTACTTATCATTATTACTATCAACATTAGTATCACTATTCTCATTGTAAATTATATTGTAATTCTTATCATGATCAGTATTATTACTTATAAACTATTATTAAACCTTATTATCCTTATCATTATTATTACTCTACTGCTACTATTATTTTTACTATCGTTATCATTGTTATCATAATCATCATTATTATCATTATTGTTATTTATTATTAATGTTTAATATTCCCATGAATATCATTAATATTATTTCTTTGTTATTATCATTATCATATTTACTATTACATTATCGTTATTGTTATTACTATCATAATTATAATCATTACCATAATAGTTATCATTATCATTATTCTATTATCAATATTATTACCATTATCATCATTTTTCACTATTATCATATTATTATTACTATTATTATTATTATTATTATTATTATTATTATTATTATTATTATTTTATTATTATTATTATTATTATTATTATTTATTATTATTATCATTATTATTATTATTATTATCATTGTTATTATTATTATTACTATTATTATTATTATCATTATATCATTATTATTATTATTGATGTTGTTGTTACTATTATTATCACTACTACTGTTATCCGTATCATTACTGTTATTACTATTATCATTATCATTTTCAATCATTATTGTTATTGTTATTATTTCTATCATTATTCATCACTTTTATTATAATCATTATTTCATTATTATCGTGTTATTATTATTATCATTATCATTATCATTACCATTATCATTATCATTATTACTATTATCATTATTATGATTATTATTATCATTATCATTATCATTATCATTATTATTATTATTATTATTATTATTATTATTTTATTATTATTATTATTATTATATTATTATTATTATTATTATTATTATTATACTATTGTTATCATCATCATCATTATTGTTACCATTAATTGTAAGAAAATTATATTATTATTATTATTGTTATTATCATTATCATTATTGTTACTATTAATTCTAACATTATTATTACTAATATCAGTGTTATTATCATTATTTTCATTAACATTGTTACCAATTATTATTATTATTATTATTATTATTATTATTATTATTTATTATTATATTATTATTATTATTATTATTATTAGTATCATTATCATTATTATCAATTATCATCATCATTAATGTAATTACAATTAATCGCTATTAATACTATTACTACTGCTACTATTATCACTATCATAGGCAACATTGGTTATCCTTATTATCACTATTGTTATTACCAATTATCATTATCATTAATGTTTTTATTATTCATCGCTACTACTGCTACTATCATTGCTATCATTATTACTATCATATCATTATTATTATTATTATCATTATAATCATTCTCATTTTCATTTCTTTTTTTGTTGTTATTAATAGTAGTATTATTAATACATTATTATATTCATTATGATTATGATTATCATTCTATCATTTATCATTATCATTATTATTATCATTATTATTACATTATTATTATCATTATTATCATCATATGTCAGTTGCATTTATTATTGTTTTATTATCATTATCATTATCAATGTTATATTATCATTATTGTTATTATTATAACAATAATGATGATGATGATTATAATATATGACAATAATATTAATGATAATAACAATAATGATAATGATAAAAATAGTAAAATAATAATAATGATAATTAAAAAATAACTAACAATAATAATAATAATAATAATAACACTAATAATAAATAATATAATAATAATAATAATAATAATGATTATAATAATAACAATAATAATAATAATAATAATAATAAACAATATAATAATAATAATAATAATAATAATAATAATAATAATAATAATAATAATAATAATAATAAATAATAAATATATAATAATAATAATAATAATAATAATAGATAAGTAGTGCAATATATACAATAATGATAATAATTAATGATAATAATAATAATAT